CTTTTTTTCCTTTTCGGTACTTGTTGGATTCTTTGTGTTTGATTGCTTAAACTCTTTTATATTGCTTGAATGTTTTAAGATATAAGTAATACTGTTATAATTATTACATTTTGCACATACAGCTATTTAGTTAGCTAGGTGCTACTTCAGCTAGTAGTGTAATAAATTGTAAAAAAGTATTTTCAAACAAGTGAGACTAGATTCGCGTTCTTAATATAGTGTTAAATATCAAAATATTTACAAAGCAAAATCCTCTACATTCCTTAAGTTATTGAACTTATTTATAGATGAGATATATTATGAACTGTATTAATATAAAGCTGAAATTTATATATTTCCTTTGAACTGACTGTTTTAAAACTGAGGTGAGTGAAATGTTTACAAAAGTCGTTGTTAAACATGAAATCTAACAAATAGGTTAAATCTCTAAAGAGGTTAAATCTCTAAGTTTCTAGAGAATATAATATCTAGATCGGAGATTTTTTGCATATCATTGTTTCACAACACAAGTTTCACAAGTCGACAGAAACTTTCTTATTTTAAATGAGTGCCTCCATTTTTTATTACATACTTAAATTCTCTGTAAAATTTTATAAATTTTAATATTAACACTCTATACCTAACATTATCCGTTTTTGAGAAAAAAAAAATATTTAAAATTTTTGGACGCAAAAACTGCCTGTCAAAAATATGTGTATAGCCTAAACGTCAAATTTACTGATTACCACAGCCACTGTGCCATAAAGAGAAGACATGTAGCTATCTATTTCAAAAATGAAATTGTTCGAATGTAATGACCGCAGCTGTCATGGAATTGAGCGATTAAAAAGTATCATAAATCATTTTATCAAATTTTTCAAATGAAAACCCACTTTTTTTATTTCACTAGTGAAACGGCTTTTCAATTCTTTACTTTTTGACTATACTACATATTCCTATACCTAAAATAAATTGTTTTTAAGTTATTTAAGATTTAGTTTTAAAGCGTATATTTTTCTTAATTTTAACTAGTGGCCTATGACTTTAAACGTCAAGTGATCTAAAACAATAGAACTGGTCATGTCATATTGTGATGTTTTGTTCAAAAAGCAGTATGTTATCGATCATCATTTCCAACTTTGCGCTGTTTTTTTTTCGTCATACGGTATATTAATGATATCAACTATTATACAGGGTGGTCCGAACTGTATTCCGGAAACTTCAGCAGCATATTCTGCAGATAAAAATAAGTAAAAAAGTTCGTATAAATATATGTCCTAAGATGCTTAGTTTCAGAAATACAGGGTGTAGAAGTTTCATTTTTATTTCGATTTTTTCTAAATAATTTCTGAAATAACGTCAATATTTGGATGAAAATTGGGGTCTGGGAGTTTTTTGACATGACAAATTTGATTTTGATGTCAATATGTCTCCTACTAGTAGAGGGCGCCACCTACATGTGTTTTAACTATTTTGAAGCGTAATAACTTTTTGTCCGTACCTGTATAAAACTACCGAGCGCAAGAATATACATCTCTGTGACTTTTTACGTAAAAAATATCTCTTTCTAAAAATCGCTACGAGCAACCGTTCTTAAGATATTTAGAATGGAAATAGTCAATATATGTCATTATTGACGAAAAATAAACACGTTGAGTAGATAGTTATTTCACTGAATTAATAAATTTGGGAAATTTTAATTTTTTTAAATTAATCATAAATTTTTCAGCAAAAAATGATGGTAAAACAATTTCTGTTGAACTTTTGGCACAAAAACATTTCAAATTTATGATTTCAGTCTAATAACTATTTAGCCAACATATGTTTAATTATGTCAATGATAACAGGTATTGATAATTTCGATTCCAAATATCTCGAAAACCATTACTCGTAGCAATTTTTACCAAGAGACCTTTTTCACGTAAAAAACGTCGTGAATGTATATTTTTTACTCAGTAGTTTTATACAGGTACGGACGAAAAGTTATTACTCTTCAAACCAGTTAAAAAATATGTAGGTGGCGCCCTCTACTAGTAGGAGTCATATTGACATCAAAATCAAATTTCCCATGTCAAAAAACTCCGAGACACCAATTTTCATCCAAATATTGATGTTACTTCAGAAATAATTTGGAAATAATCGAAATAAAAATGGAACTTCTACACCCTGTATCTCCGAAACTAAGCATCTTAGGACATACTTTTATACGAACTTTTTTACTTATTTTTATCTGTAGAATACGCTGCCGAAGTTTCCGGAATACAGTTCGGACCACCCTGTATATCACTAAAACGAGCGAAAACACAAGATATGTTTTTATAAATACACCTTTTAAACTCTTAAGCAGGCAGTACTATTTATAATATAGGAAATTCAAATAATTCGTTTTCTGACAGATGGAAATAAATTGTCTGACCGTTTGACACTTAATGTCAAAAGAAGCTAGATAAAATCAAGAAAAATATACACTTTCAAATTAAATTTTAAATAATTTAAAAACGATTTGTTTTAGGTATAGGAACATGTATATTTAAAAAGTAACGAATTGAGAAACCTTTTCATTAGTCAAATAAAAAAGTGGGTTTTCATTTGAAAAAAAATATTTATGATAATTTTTTAATCGCTCGATCAATTCCATGACAGCTACCGCCATTATTATATGACATTTGAACTATTTAATTTTTGAAATAGATAGCCACATGTCTTCTCTTTATGTCACAGTGGTTGTGGTAATAACTAAATTTGACTTTTAGGCTATAGAATTTTTTGACAGGTAGTTTTTTTCGTCCAAAAATTTTAAATATTTTTTTTTCTCAAAAACGGTTAATCTTAGGTGTAAAGTGTTTAACATCAATATTCATATAATTCTACAGAGAATTTAAATATGAAATAAAAAATGGGGGCACCCATTTATAATAAGAAAGTTGAGGTCAACTTCCGGTATTTCCGGAAGTGCCGCCATATTGAAAATATTTTTAATCGATGGATCTCGTTGTAAAACGATGTGCAAAAAATCTCTGATCTAGATATTGTGGATCTCTAGAAACTTATAATGCACGCTCAGCTCGGGACACCCTGTATATCTAAAATCCGTATATTATATCCGTCCAATGTAACAATAATAATTCAAAGTTTATGAATTATCGCTAGTCAAACTTCTTTAATATTATTTTTAAAAAAATATGCAAGGTGTTCCTTAATAATATGCTAATGAACCTCATATGGATGTATAACCTAAACATCTTAACTTTTGAGATACAGGGTTGTACATTTTTTATTTTTTTTTAGTAGCTCTAATATTATTGTGTATATCTTATGAAATTTGATATATGTTTTCTATGCATAAAAATGTCTTTTTAGGTACAAAAAATGTTATGTTGTATCTCTTAATTTCCATCCAGCCGATGCAGAAACGACTTCCACACACGTATCAGATTTTTATAATTTTGAAACTTTAGTAAAATGATCGAAAAAATCAAGAGATGAAAATTGTTCAGAAACGAATAAAGATTTTAAAATTAATGTTTATTTTAAATGAAGTCAGTGGTGTAGAATTTTTTTCTTCAAAAATATCCAATGTAAACAAAATAACTAACGATATTTGTACATCAAGAAAGGCATTTTGGAGCATAGAAGAAGTGTAATACAAGTTTCATGAAGCAAAATAATTTTTTTAGAAAAGTTTACCACCCTGTATCTCAAAAGTTAAGATGTTAAGACATACATTCATATGAAGTTTTTGTTTCTTTAAATGGCTCCACCCTCTTAAATATGTATTTATAATATATACGTTACAGTTAAAGTTTGATATCCGGGGTTAATGTCGATATTAACAAGTTAATGTTTCGGTTTGGTTTTGTTCTTGGTTGTTTTGCTTTGTGTTATTCTCGAGATTAACGGGGTTATATTGAGATTAACTTTATTTCGGACCTTAACCGTAACGTATATACATATAAACCTGTATATTACCCGCGAAAAAATACTAGGATGTCCTACAAGGAAATGAGATAATCTCATAAAAAACATAGAATGTAAAAAAATCCAAGTCTAGCAACAAACCAAGTTAACAATATATTAATATATATTGTTATAATAAGTTAATAATATATATATTGAATATGGGAAAATACATCCTGAGAAAGATATACATGGTCGTCCAAACTGTATTCCGGAAACTTCGGCAGCACATTCTGCAGATAAAAATAAGTAAAAAAGTTTGTATAATGTCCTAAAATGCTTAGTTTTGGAAATACAGGGTGTAGAAGTTTCATTTTCATTTCGATTTTTTCCAAATAATTTCTGAAATAACGTCAATATTTGGATGAAAATTGGCGTTTGGGAGATTTTTGACATGAGAATTTTGATTTTGATCGTATTTTTACATATTTTTATCTGCAGAATATGCTGCCGAAATTTCTGGAATACTATTCGGACCACCCTGTAGATTGAAACTGTTTTGGTTAATATGCAATTTCGCAATACACTCCGTACGTGTAGCAATAGGATGTGAACCAATATAACAAATATAAAGCACCTATTCAACAATTGTGTTATAAATTGTTACTATCTTAAACGTTAAACAGCGCACTTTGTAAGAATAAAGTATTTTAATTAGTAAAATATCCTACTGTGCCATTGCCAAGTTATTATAATAATTATTATTACAGAAATAAAGATGTCTAATATTGATACTAACAAATTATAAAAAAATTGTTGAATAGGTGCTTCCATAGAAACTAAATAAAATAAGCTGACTTTTTACATGAGATCTCACCATGAGATTTGCATGAGATCTCACAACTTTTTGTAGTGGAGAACGGCGTTGGGAGACTTGGTATTTTTTTACATTCTGTGGTGCTATTCTTGACATCGTTCGCACTTTGCGTATACGCATTTACATGTATTTTTATATGGCTTTCTCGGAGATGCGAGTAGTCAAGAATAGGTACCTACATGGTACCTACCCTGTTTTTGATGGGATATATTATACTTATAATTGATATATATTTCTTATTATTTAGTACTGTGATGTTTTAATACCAGAAGTTCAAGACATGTTGGCAAAATTGCCTAAATTACCTCCAAGTGCAAAATTTGATATTAGAAATGGATGGCTTCCGCTAAGTTTTACAGAGCATTGTAGAGAAATAGTGAATAAGTATGTCTTAGATGCCGTACAAAATAAAATTATGGCTGGAAAAGAACCAAATCCAGGTAGTTCAGAGAGAGCGGTGGAGTCTTCAGATAGTATAGTATCATTATACTGCAGTAAATTGTTAAGTAATATTAGAAAAGGAGTAACTACAAGAGACAGCTCAACAGAAAATGAAGAAAGTATAGAAGAAATCAGTTTAATTGAAGGTACATAAGTACATTTTTCTTCGTTTTTCTACTAAAATTTTGTCTGCAAATTTTGCATCTAATGTATGAGTTAATCTAGGATTAAGTATAGTCTATCCAACAAGAGCATACTTGACAGTGACAGTTGTCTGTCATTTTTATTCACACGAAAATTGTATTTTCGGTCATTTTTGGGGTGTTTTCTATCCAAATCTTTCCTGACTGGTTGGACAAACTATACCAATTTAAATAATGTCTAAATTAAACTAATATTATTGTTAGTGTTGTTTATTATTGTCTAATATTAAACTTATTTCTGATTTATAATACCAATTTAGTATTAAATAATATTTTTCTTTTATTTTATTATACCTATTTGACTTCTTGCAATTTAAATATTGAATTGAATACACACTACTCAGTCGATTGGCTCCATAAAAACTTTTGCAACTATTTAGTTGCAAAAGTTTTTATGGAGCCGACTATTTAGTCGGCCGATTAAAAAAAACGTAATTGAGACAATTCAAAGGGTCTTGTTTTTCAAACTAATATATTATATAGGGTGGCGCACCTCATTCGCCTCGGTTGATTATACGAAAACGGAAAGATGTAGAAACAAAATATTTTATGGGTATATGTGGGGAGGAAATGTGCACAATTTAAAATTATTTTGAAACATACAGGGTGTCTCAGAACTAAGATTCATACCAAAGTTATATTTTTTCTTATGGAACACCCGGTATTTTATTTCATTTTTGGATTCTTAATTAAATCTAATTCTCTAAAAAGGCATTTATTATAAGGGTTAAATATGTTTAAAATCTTTGGTTTTTGAGATATTTGAAGATATTTAAATATGCATGCTACAAAAGAATTGATTATTAACACCCCCTTCATTACTTTTCAGAATTAATTCTTGTGCTGAGTTTAAAGATAAAGGAATAAACTTTACTGAAAAATGTTATTGCTTCCTTAAATTTATACAAGGGTACCAAAAATTGGTGATCTATTTTAAGGATTTATTTTACATAAAAACTTTGTTATTTCAAATGCAACACCCTGTATTTTTTTAAATAAATCGAAGCAGATTCAAATGCTTTTTCAAACTATATTAGGGTTTCCTATACCTATCTATCTCAGATTTTGAATAAAAAGCGATTTTTAAATAAAATGACCATCAAGATGGCTGGTACCGTCATGGCAATTTTATCTTCAAAATCGACATTAGTTTATGGACATTATTATTTAAACAGTTTACTAAAATTTACCCACAATAGTTTAATAAATAAGTATTCTTTATCTTATGAAGAAAAATAAAGCCGTATCTGCTGGCGGAAGGAATGGATATGTTACTAGTGATTTTATTTTGTGAGGTTATAAAAAAAACTATTAGGCAGAAACCTGTCGTTGGAAGTGAAGAAATTGGATTTGCCGTAATTGGCTCTTTTATAGAAAATCCATATATGTACAAGTTATCGTAAAATAAAACAAAGAACTACTTCTTCATTTTTCTTGATAGAATAATAAATACATATTAATATTAATAAATATTATTTATTAAGCTATTGTAGGTAAATTAAATAAAAGTAAACTGGTATAAATTTAAATAAAGTCTATAAGCTAATTTCGATTTTGAAAATAGTTACTAACTGTCACTAGAAAATTACCATGGGCGATACCAGCCATCTTGATTGCCATTTTATTTAACAATCGCTTCTTATTCAAAATCTGAGGTAGATAGGTATAGGAAACCCAATAAAAAAAATGAAAGAGCAATTGAATCTGCTTCGATTTATTTAAAAAAATACAGGGTGTTGCATTTGAAATAACAAAGTTTTTATGTAAAATAAATCCTTAAAATAGATCACCAATTTTTGGTACCCCTGTATAAATTTAAGGTAACAATAACATTTTTCAGTAAAGTTTATTTCTTTACCTTTAAACTCAGCACAATAATTAATTCTGAAAAGTAATGTACAGGGTGTTAATAATCAATTGTAGCGTGCATATTTAAATATCTCAAAAACCAAAGATTTTAAACATATTTAACCCTTATAATAAATGCCTTTTTTTGGGCCCAAGAATCCAAAAATGAAATAAAATACCGGGGGTTCTATAAGAAAAAATATAACTTTGATATGGATCTTAGTTCTGAGACACCCTGTATATTTTAAAATAATTTTAAATTGTGCACATTGCCTTCCCACATATACCTATAAAATATTTTGTTTTTACATCTTTCCGTTTTCGTATAATCAACCGAGGCGAATGAGGTGCGCCACCCTGTATATATTTTATAAATATGCCATAATTGTTTTGAGTAGTTTATGTAATGTAAAATTATATCAAAATTCTAATATCTATAGTTGATATATCAGTCAATCACAAGTGAGAATAAACATATTGTTTTAAATCATAATATTATATTACCCCAAGGAAATTACAGAACATTTTTTTAGATGAAACTGTGGAAACTATAGATACAAATGAAGTAGTCAATAGCCTCCCTGAAAGAATATTGGAAGAATCTGATGAGGAAGATTCAGACATGGATCTTGATATGGAGGCGATTGAAGAAATAAATGAAATGCTCAACTAATTCACAATATACTTTTCTCGTAAAGTATTAAGTTATTTTTATTTAAAAAAAAATCTTATTGTATATGTACTTTATTATCTATCTTACTTTCCCTATTTATTGTGTACGTACTATTATTATCATTAATATAAAGACTATGGATACTGACTTGAATACTATTTTTATTTGACCTTGTTGCTATTTTCTGTATTAGTTCTTACTAATGATTTGGACTTGAATTAGATTGAGATTATTTTGAATCCAGTGACAGCGCTGGTGTGGGGGCCAGGGGCCCTTATACGGTTGGGGAGGTGGTAATGTAGGTAAATTTGCCCCTCTAGAAATTAATTTATAAATAAAATAAAATGTGGCATAAAAATAACATTATAAAAGGAAATAATACCATCAAGATAGACACTAGAGGCACACACACACAGTGTATTTTTTTCAGTCACAATACTATTCAGCGTAAATGTAATTTAAATCTAGTACTTTACTTAAATATTGTCAGTAATATGCCCAGTACCCCTACCAGACTAAAACTCTAGATGCGACACTGAGGGTGGGGGGCACGACTTTAGTAAAACAAATTGTCAGGATTCACTATCAAATCGTCAATGTAAGGCAGCAAATTAAAGAATTTTACTTTATTAAAAAATTAAAACCCCGCCTACTACAATTTGGTTATTGGTTTTAAATACTGCAAGCTAATATAATTTTTGTAGTCCGTGAAATCAGAAGACCCAATACGACGCTGATAATTCCAGTGGCGGCTCGTGACTCGTGTGACTGGGTAGGCGACAAAATTTTAATTGCGTCTATTTGCACCCCCCCCCTCCTAAATTTACATAATACCCTAACCCAGTTCGGAAGTATATGTTATCTCTGGGTTAAAAACATAGCTCAATAATATTTAGGACAAAACTAAAGCAAAAATGACAGCATTCAACGTAATGACATAATGTACAATATGTGTTTTTTTTATCTATTACTATGGAGTACATCATAGAATTTTATTTTATTTTTATTTACGCAAATAATTGAGATATACCAGTACCTATCTGCAAACCTTATTTCTAAATGTTTAACAATGTTATGTAATATTTCATAAAATAACATTTATTAGCATATCGAATTGAATTAGCACACTGAGACTTTTCTGTAATATCTGTTGTAATCGTCTTCTTGAATCTAATAAAATAACGCGCTCTTTTATTTTGGATTCTTTTATTTCTGTGGCGTGTTCTGAAATACAACCGGTTATATCATTTTTTCACTTGCCACAAGGTTGAACGATCAGGTGCGGTAGTTGCTAGATAGCTGTTTTGTGACTTGTGCGTTGAAGTTATTCTGAATATCGTTAAACTTTTTAACAATTATGGTGTACTCACTTGCAGAAAAAGTGAATATAATCGAACTTTATTTTGAAAAATAATGAATGTGGCAATCGGTTTGCGCAGGTATTCAATGAACGCCATTCTGACAAATACCTTTATGGCAAAATTGTTCGCGATTTAGTAGCAAAATTTCACGAAACTGGTTCCGTTATGAATAAAAAGAGGCAGAGGGAAAATCCTGTAGTAAATGAAGCTATGGAGGTATTCGTATTGGACCAAGTTGCCATGGATAAGTACGCTGACAGTACGCTGATAAAAAACAGCAAATTGGTCGAAGGAATTTATCCTTATCATTTACTCTGATAAATGTTTAAATAAACTTTTCAAATTTCAATCCTTCATATTTTCTTAATGACTCGACCGATTTTCAAAAACGAAGCGGGGAAATATAGAGAATAGAAAGCTCTTTTCATTGCGGCGCTACTTGACCCCCCTTCCCATTTGAAAAAAGTTGGGGGATGACACCCCCGCTTAGAGGGCTGAAGATTTTGCAATCATTTTTTGGGCAAAAGTTGTCCCCCTCACAAACAAAATTGACGTGTTTTTGGATTTTTTGAAAAAAAAATATCCTGGCCGTTATGTCTTGCGGAACGTTTTTGATGGGCCACCCTGTATATATATCCGATATATATAAAGGTCTAAGACACTTATTTAAGTAAAAACAATCTTCGGATTGTCACGGGGTTTCTAACAGGACACTGTCTCCTCAACGAACACCTCAGTAGGCTGAAACTGAGAAACAACGGCGAATGCAGATTTTGTGGGGAAAATGGGGAAACACCAGAACACCTTATCACTGAGTGCGCCGAGACGACGACCATTCGTGCCATGAACCTTGGTACGTCTGATGTCGAGGATAGAGAGGTGGCCTCTGTGGAGCCGTCTCAGATACTGGCTTTTCTTAAAGCCCTGAGACTGTATGATGAGTTATAACTCAAGAAAGGGGAACACACAATAGATCTATAAGGTCGCGGTGATTAACTCCCCTCCTAAACATTCTACATTCTACATTTATCAAGTTTTGATATTTATTTTTGTTTTTATTTTTCATGTAAAACTGCGTTTAGTATCAAGTAAAATCAAGGGCTCAAGCAAATATTTTTATTTCAACTTAATTATTGTTGCTTTGCACATAATAGGAACAACATTAAAACAAAAATATATAAAAAATATACATAAATTCTAAAAAAATAAACAGAACTTCTAAAAAATAAACAGAAATTCTAAAAAATATACAGAAATTCTAAAAAATAAACGAAAATTCTATAAAATAATCAGGAATTCTAAGAAATTTATAATTCAAAAAAAATAAACAGATATTCTAAAACTAACAACAAACAAATTTATATTTGATCAGAGAGTAAGTCTTTTCTTGACTGAAATCATTTTAAAGACCTGATTTTAAGTCTTTTTTGAAAGACGGCTTAACTGCTTAAGACTTAAAGTTTAAGTCTTTTTCAAAATGATTTGTGATTTAAATATTTATTCCGAAATAGAAAAAGATTTTTTTTTATGTATATATTTTTAACAGCAGCATTTCTTTTTAAATTGTTAGGCAGCAACCCAGGAAGCAGATAAAAAAAAACAATACTCAATACCTCCAGGACTCTCTAGTTAAAATGTCAGTTTTTCAGACCGGTTTTGATTATTTGTCGTGTTACGCGTGCGTAGTGGGTTTGTTGTCTCTCATGTTAATGCCTGACTCCGTTATGTCGCCCGAAAGACGAATTAAAGAAACTGATCTCGAATATATTGAAGGGTTTGGTTTGGTTTGGGGGGTACCTTAAAATCCTCCATCCCTTAGCTTATGCCACCGACATATTATATAGTGATCAAAACACATCTCAGTACATCACCATTTTTTAATAGACATGTATTCAATGACATCTAAACGTGTCTAAAGTGTAATGGATACATATAATCTACTACAAAATCATCGGTTAAATTTTATAAAAAAAATATTCTTGTGTTTGCAGTTGTTCTGAAAATGAACCGTTTTATTTTATGAGGTTTTAGTCTCATTTGTGCCTACAATAAATTAATAATGTAGTTAATATAAGGAAATCGACAATCAATCGGTAATATAAGAAAATTTATATTACGTTAAAAAAAAATAAAAAATAGCTACTTAGAATTGAATTGTGGTTGTCTTGACTTGAGGGTAATTATATTGATTTGTCATTTTACTTAATTTTTGACTTAACTTGCTGATTATCGCGATTTAAGTCAAAAATATAGACTTCAGTCATAAAAATGACTTAAATTACGTTATATTGATTTGTCTTTACAAAAATGACTTGACTTGAAATAAAATGATTTAAGTCAAAGACTTAGATCATTTGAACTTTATGTTGAATTTGACTTAAGATTTAAATAATTTTGATTTTAGAAATGACTTTTAAAAAAAAAAAAACAACGCTTTATTGTACAAAAAGCCAAAACAGCTTCATCGACAAAGCAAAACAAAAAAAGCACAAAAACAAATATACAAATAATACAAAAAATGTCATACAATACAAATCAATTCAAAAAAAAAATTTACGTCATAAAATTACAAATAAAACATATATGGACATTGCAGAACACAGGCGTATCTAGAAAATTTTACAAAAGGAAAACTGTAAATGGATAAAATCATGTTATAATAACATAAAATCAAGAGTTATAAAATATTAAATACTAGACCTTTAACCAGTGTGTGAGATGATCAAAATATTAAAATTAAAATTCTAAATTGTTCATGATTAAACATCAACAAAAAAGTCGTTTACCGCATATAGGGCTCTCTCCAGTAAGTATGATTTCAGAGCTTTGCGAAATTTTAAAAAGACTTAAGTCTTTTTAAAATTGACTTGTTGCAGCTCTGACTGTAGGTATACTCATTTCAAGTCTATGACGAATTGCTTTTTCAATCATTAGAATTAATGATGATTTAATATTTAATTTAGGGTTCATTGTAATTAAGTTTGGGGTTCACGTGCACAGAGTTGCAACAAAAGTCAGTTTCTGATCTTCTGAAGTCTCTCATCTGTGATGTCTGTCTGCACGTGAATATGTGCTAGGCAAAAAAACCTTTATTCTAGAACTAAACTGTTTTTCTTATTAATTTTCTACACATTATTTTGGTAGTCAGGCTGAATATTAAAAATGGTTTTTTTGCATGTACTACATTGTATACATAATATTTTTGTTTTTCTGTTATGTGATCCAGCGCAAATGCAAAAGCCGCATCTTCGGTTTGAATTTGGTTGAATCCCTTTAGCAGGATTTATGGAAACTGTGACATTGCTTTCCGGAAGAAATAAATCTGTTGCTGTGATTTTTGTGAAAATTTGTGAAAATTGTTACTATTTTATTTCCTTCTTAGAACGTTTCGAAGTACAAGTACTTGTGCTGAAGGATGGCTCTTCGCGCGCAGAATTCGAAGTGAATTCGGCAGGAATCTCTTTTTTGTTAACCCATCATTAGTATATTTCTTTTGCTCCATTTTCCAATAAATACACATATTAACTTACTACAGCACAGTAAATATCAATACTAAACTAAATATTGAACTTCCATGGTACCTCAGGCAGTAAATGTCAGTTTTTCGCGGAAAATAAAAATATATTCTAATATTTTTGTTAAAAAAAGGTTTTGGAATATATTTTCTACGATTACCTAAAAGGAAAAAAGTGAGAAATAAAAACTGTAAAAGTTATTAAAGAAAAAACGCATCTGGGGTACCTAAAGTACCCCGCACGGTCCCGGAAAGGTTAAGATAGTTATTTATGCATGCCTTTCTCTCGAAATATCCATAAAAAATACATTAGTGGTAAATGGAAATTACGTTTTGAATTATAGTACGACATTGCAAAACATAATTATCTGTATTTATTATTTTTTTCCAAGATGTTATGGAGTTAATAATATTTGATTAAAAACCACAACAGTTAGTTAAAGAAAATAAATAATTGAGGCTTAATTTTTTATTTAATTTCTATATAAAAATATAACAAAAAGACAGTCAAATTTTTATGATTATCTACTATATTCTATCTTATGATATATCTATTACCAACAACATAATTATGTCTAAATGTTACAAATAATAACTAATTCTAATATATTAAAAAATGATGTGAATACTATATACCTAAGGGTTTCATTAATATTTAAATTTACATTTGTGGTAATTGGTCGATAGGAGTTGCAAATTTAAAGTCTTGAGGGAATAGTTTTGCTGCATGGGGATACATCAATTTATAGGATTGCCTAATTGTGACATCCGCTACACCGGCAATATCACCAATTTCTTTTTGACTTTTTTTATCATCAGATGCCTAAAACATAAATATATATTAAAAATTCTATTTTTAAACAATTCAACTGCTATGAGATCTACAAAAATTTGTAAGTATAAGACTGAATAATTTTTTGCTTGAAAGATTGATTTTGCAATCTTAGCTATAGTAACAATCAAAACATTGTATACTATCAAAACTAGAATTCAATGAATGTCTGAACAAAATCAGTGTTATTAGTAGTGATGTGACGGTATTTGAGTAACGCTATTTTGGAGCTGTATTTTTTTTTGTAACGTCGTGTCGCACTCCAAAACAAATCAGGAACCTGTTACTGAAGAACGACGATGATAATAACGACAAAATTATAAATCATTTATAATTTGAAAATAAATTATTTATAATCGCTCTTGGAGTTAGCTCGAACCGCAGTAACCGCATAGCGTCGTGTATTGCTCCAGCCGTCGCGCTCTTTTGGTCGCGAACAGTAGTAACTGAAACTGGAGCTGGTAAGTATGTAGCGTTGCACGATCTCGACCGCCTCGTCTGTCGCGAAGAGATGTAACTGGTAACGACCTACAGTACGTCTGTCCGTTCTGTAGCTACGGGGTATCCATGAGGGGGGAAACGATATTCCTCGATGTTTTTCGGAAAAAAATAGACGACGCGTCCCATCAATAAAAATTCGACAAATTTGCAAGTAGCCAATAGAATGAGTGGGAGGAGCGATTTGCGATGACGTACTCGTCAAGTCGACGTATAAAATATATTGCTGTTTATTTAAATGTCTTTTGTCCGCATTCCTTTCATAGACACAGATCCAGCAGACGTACTGTATATCACGACGTATTTCGCTCCAGTGCCAGTGATCGCGCGACAGCTGGAGAGCTCGTAGGGTCGAGTTTTCGTCGGTCGCGACCAGTAGTAACTGCAACTGCTAAGTATGTAGCATTGCGCTTTGATCGGTCGCTGTACTAGGCATTTTTGATTGATAATAATAAACACATGTTAGGTACATAACATTAGATGGTTACAAATAAACACTTTTACAAAAATTAGAAAAAACAAAGAAGAAATATTATGACCGACAAAAAAAGGAAATTTGTAAAGTTACTTTCAATTGATTAAAAATATAATCCCAATTAGAATTATATAGTCTGCAAAGAAAGAGAATTACATTTTACTAACATACAGGAATAAAGTAAGACTGATTTTATTTTGCTTATCTGACAAACATCTACTTCTAACTTTTCCACCAATAAGGAATTAGTTAGTTTATATAAAAACATACACATAGATAAAGTTATGTTGTAAGTTAAGTTATGTTACTTTTTATTGTTTAAGCTAAACTATTGCTAAAGTAAACAGATTTGAGGAAAAAGATAGAAAAATATAATTATCTTACAAATTAATGTATGTATTTAAATTTGAATTCTAACGGTTATAACCTGTATCAGAAGGATATAAATCTAAATATTATTTGCAAAAATATAACACTTATAAAAAGCTATTTTTCAGCCTGAAAAAAAGATGGCAAATAAAAAGTACTGACTACCAATAAATTATATTATTTTATATTTTTTATTTAATAGTTTTATTTTCAAAATTCAGACAGGGAGAGGAGTAGGTAGGTACAGTGACCAGAAATACCATATAGACGGGAACAGCGACACTTTGGAAGCTGGAACCTCGGTTACAAAATTGCAGTATTTCTCTGGAACGGATGCTAGTCTAATGCGCCTAATGTAGTACCGGTATTCCCATCTCTAGTTATTAGCCTTTCATATTTTGAAATAAATACACATACTAATTCTTATTTAAATACAACTAGATACTTTCATAAATTTATGTAAACTCACTTGAGATGCCATGTAAATTGCAGCAGCTGCTACAGATATTGGTGACCGGCCTGGCACAATGTCCAGTTCTACGGCTTTTCTAGCAATATGAGTTGCAGCTCTTTGTACCATGTTAGGGAGTCCCAAGTTTGCACAGAATCTTGACATGAAGTCCCCTGTCGTAATTAAATCAACAGATGTCTCCAAGGCTTTCAATATCAACTTGAAACATCTACCAATTTCTCTTTTACTAATTTTACTGACAGCACATATTTCTTTGAAAGTACGTGGAACACCCTCCTGTCGACAAGCAATATATAAACATGCCGATGCAATAGCATCATTAGAACGACCTAAAAAGCACATAGTAGAGTAGCTAAGTGCAATGATGTATTAGTTAAAAGTAGACAAACCTTTAAGATTACGTCCATCATGAACTTGTTTAAATAAATTGTTAGCTCTATCTACTATTGTTCTTGGTAAATTAATACGATCAGCCATAGCATTAATTTCTTTAAATGCATTAATCAAAGCTCTATCAGAGCTATTCATGGTTCTCCTGTTTTGATATCTTGCCACTCCAAAAGAATCGAAACTGGCATCACCTGAATTAATGTTCAGTTGCACTAAAATTTATGATATGGAAATATGAACGTTACCTCTCCCTGGTCCAATCATTGTTGTCAAATCGGAACCTCCTAACAATGGATTCTCTGGCCCACCAACACGAGATGGATCAACTCCATTCTTTTCATTACTAAAAGTTCTCCATTCGGAACCGACATCAATAACCCTAACAAAAAATCACATTTTCGTCATAGTGTTTTATAAAATTTATGATAAAAATTTCGAAGTATTACAACTGTTTATAAATACCTATCGCCAACAACTAATCCGCATTCTGAACAAATCTGATCGCCAGCTCTATAATCTTCAATTAACGGAGCTTCCGGATGAGAAATACAACACACCTTATTCGCATCATATCTTAAATATTAATAAAGTTAAAAAAGAATTACAATTGAAGATTATTTTACCTGGAAGTGCTCGCCATTATCTTTTTAAGCTGATAAATTATAAACAATTAATGGGGAATGAACCATAAAATAATTAACTAGAAAGAAGTGTCAACTCTGTGTTAAATCGTGGAAACACGATACGCCACCGAAAGCCTTCGTTGTCGTCTGGAGAACTAATTTTCCAATTGACAGGTTGACATGATAAGGACATGATGGCTTAATTTTCATTTCCGTTTCCGGTTATTCAATGGCGGGCCAACGGCCGTCGAAGCACCCCGTAAGTGGTTAAAGTTAAAGCAACGAAGGCGATACTAGATACTAGTGGATGGACAGGGATGGACGGATGGAGTGGAAACCAGAGCTGGAAACTCTGTTGTGCTGCTGTTCCATGGCAAGAGTGTAAAAATCTATTGACACACACTGCTCATTCACGCCGGGCGCCGGTTTGAGGGTAATCATTGGGCGCACAACCTGACCGGTGTGTTTGCGAATGCGCCTATTGATATGTAATCGCAGATGACCGCATTCAGTTCCGCGCGTAAGCAAAGTAGGATCGTCCTTGGGATTTATTTTGTTTACTAAAAAAGTTAGGTTAAGAAACTATCCACAGATCACATAAACTATCCAAAATGAAAATCGCAATCTCCAAAATGACGTTTGCTCGTGTATTCTGTGGATTCCGCTCTCGAGAGCCCAAGACCGTCTTGGCGTCTCGAGATGCAACTATAAATACCAGCCTTAGAATCTTTTATTTTTGATGAATTCAGTATTTTCCAAATAAAATGACTGAAGTAGATGTTTTCATTAGTAATTATACTCTAGTCGATCCTGAAATATATCAGTTATGGATTGAAGGCAATACTGGTACCTATTTGTTTTATTTTCTATTATTTGGCCAGTGTATTTATTTACGAGTTTTTATTAAATTCTTACAGCCAGTGAAGCTGTTGCTATACTTGATAAGAAAGGACTGGGTAAGAAAACAGGAGCATCTTTAGAACTTATTGCCAGCGATGTATTAGATCATTTTCGAACTTATTCACTACTTGAAAAATTATTAAGTTATCCTAATAAATTACAAGAGCAATCTGCGTTTCAAATAGAGCCCCATACTAGACAGTTACTTATTGAAAAATATTACGAATTTGACGATGATGTTGTTAGAGAATTACTCGGTAAAAAATTAAGCTCCAAAAATCGAAGAGATTTAGATGAAGTATCTGAAAAGACAGGAAAGCCATTAAAATCTTGTCGGTAATATATGAAATATGAAAATTAGAAGTATCACTCTTTTTAATACCTTTATAATAATTGTTATTTTAGAAGGCAATTTGACAATATCAAAAGAGTTTACAAGGCTGTTGAAGAAATGCCTGGCTCAAAAGTTGAAAATATAAAAAACTCGTTTCATTTATCCGAAGACCTTGCAAGAAAATATGCTAGTATTGTATTTTTAGCATCGATACGGTTTGAAACTTCAAAAAAGGTTTTGACTTGCTCTACAATATTTAGAAAACAATTAATTTATACAATTTTTAGAAACTTCAATCCATGACGTTTCCTGCTTGGAAAAAGTGTTGTGAAGTTATCATGGACCACTGGACCTATAAATTAGTAAATACTGAATGTTATGACATAGAAATGGATAAGGAGTTTTTAATTGAATTAAGGGACTTAAAAATTTTACTAGAAAGGGAAAAGGACCACAAGCAGTAAATAAGGCACATTTTCTATGCAGGGTTTGATACCTTTAATTTATTTTCAGACTAGTTTGTCTTACTTTAAAACCAAGGTTACTCCAGAAGAGTTATTCTGAACTTGATAGTAATTTTAAAAAATATACAGCAGCTATTATAACTCTGGCTTCAACATTACATCGATCAAGAGATATGAAAAATTTATTTGTTGAGTTTTCTCAAATTTTAGACTTATTTAAAACAGGAAATTGGTCAGCACATGATTTACAAGAATTTTTTAATGCATATACATCTTGTGCATTAGATTTAGATATTTTAAGGTAACAGTGTATTTTATTTTCAAGTATCCAAGATTTTCATGCAATTAAAAAAAACAATTTTTAGAAAGAACACGGAATTGAAAACTTGTTGGGAGAAATTTATGAAAGTCATTGGTGTATGTATGGTTGTCATGTACTCCACATAATTGTGTAAATTATTATTGTGTAATTTTTGTGTATTATAACTGATCTATCTTTAAAAATATTTTAATATAATTTTAACAGTTATTGTGATTTTTACACTTACAGTAAGACATCTATATTTTTAATGATTGCATAGAAACAGATGTATTATTGATATTATTTGCTTCTTGCACCATCAGACAAATTCATTATTTCAGATTATCTTTATCGTACAAAAAATGTCATATCTGTTATAGAAAAATTAATATTGTTTAATGGAAATAATGTTTATACCAAAACTGATGAAATATCTACATATACACAGGATATCTCAATATTCCGTGGACATAGAACTACTGCATATTTTTGGACTCAAAATAAGCCCATTAGACACAATTTACCTCTATACAAAAGTGCTTTATTTGTCCGTTAGAGGGCATCAAACTTTAAAAAAATAAACAAATTTTTTCAGATATTTTAAGAACCGTTATCCCTATTTGAATGAGATTTTGGGTGTCTATATTTTGCTTTAACATTTGACTTTCACAACAATCAAGAAAAATTATGGAAAGGGTGAAAACCCCTACAAAAATTTTAATGTAAATATTTTCCAACTCCACCGACGATAGATTTTCTTTTCGTAAAATGGTCCCTCTAATATTTACTACATTTTTCGCCTCTTGTAAAAAAACGCCACATCCCATAGTTTTAGAGAAGAAATTATTTGGTGAATTTATTTTTCCAAAGCCGACCTACCAAATATACAGAGAGTTCCAATATTCCGTGGACATAGAAAAACTAAACTTTTCCTCAAAAAGTATGTGCGTTGGCGTTTTTTACAAGAGATAAAAAATATGGTAAATACTAGGACCATCTTACGAAAAAAAAAAATCGGTCGTCGGTTGAGTTAGGAAAGTATTTATACTAAAATTTAGGTTTTTATTGTAGGGGTTGGTGTAGTTGTTTTAACATTTCCCGTACTTTTTTTGATTTTTATGGAAATCATATGTTAAAGCTCTTAGCAAAACATAGACACCCAAAATTTCATTCAAATCAGAATATCGGTTGTTAAAATATCTGAAAAAATGTATTTATTTTTTTAAAGTTTAATCCCATCTAACGGACAAACGAAGCACTTTTGTATAGAGGTAAATTGTCCACGGAATATTAGGACACCCTGTATATGTATGTGAGGGAGGCTATACCACGGCTATACCATAATAATTGGGAATGGTTGAATAAGCTGAAAATGATGATGATGATGGTGATATTTCAAGAATGATACAGTGTAGGCCTGAATTAGTACAAGAATTTCTCTAGAATAGAAATCCTGAATAATTTTTAAATTTCTCATTTTTATCAATTTTTTAGTTAGTTGGTTTAGTGGGGTTTAGTATTTCCCCTTTTCATTTACCCTGTATTTTCTGAAAATATTTTTTGACACTGGCAGCATTCAAACCATCGCATCTAAAAAAAACATCAAAATTTTTTAAATATTTAAATATCATACTTTTTGATCATAATGGAAGAGGATGAAAACAGAAAACCGCCCCTGCCTAATCAAACAGGAGTACCACCCTATCGTCGTCTTTCAGACGAGCCCGATACCTTAATGCCTAGACCCAGCATTATATTGCCACATTTACAAGAATCTGAAAAAAAGTTTTTTGAACTTGTAGCTGCAGGTATTCATTATCGCTATTTTTTCAATACCTAACTGTTACCTAAACTTATCTTTTAAAATTAGAATTATTGAAAATTACTTATTTTCTTAATAATTTAAGTAGGTAGAATAGTTTAAAACAGATATTTTATGTGTTCTCATCTGAATGGGCAACAGCTCAGCTACCTTGAAACACTGGCTCCGGATCGATCACAGAAGTTAAAGGACGTTAGACGATCTTGATATTCGGATGGGTGGACTGGAAATATCCGTGATGCTGTTGTTCCAAGGCAAGAGTGTAAAACTTAATTGAGACCCACTGCTTATTCAGGCCGCGCGCCGCGCTTGTTAAGCTGCGTCCACATTGCTCGCGAGCAGGCCGAACGAACACGTGGAACACAAAAAACATAGCAAACAGTCAGAGCGAGATGTTCGCGGCGCTCGCGACGCTCGCGGTGTTCCACGTGCTTGTGATTTCATAAAATGCCGGTTCATCAAAGAGACGCTTCGGAGCCATGGGAGCATACTTTACGGCGGTTTGAAGCGCTCGTGCTGTATGCGTTGTTTGTTAATTTTTAGTTTGGTTTCATTCATAGGATTGGGTATTTACTGCAGTATGATGATACTACCATGATTTTTCTTATTTTAATTTGTTCAGAATTACAAATATTTGTGTTTTTTCTTGGATTAGTAATATTAAATATACCTTTTCTTAATGTGATCTTTGAGAACTTTATTTATATTTTGGCATACGCCTGGTATTTTTAGCCGACCATACCAATAGGTATGGTAGGCTATTAAGATCGGCAAAAAAAAAGTTTTTTTAATTTCACTCAAAATGAGTTATTTGGTTGTCTTCTTCTCAATACAAAATATTTTTATGGTGTCTGTCTGTCCGTCTGTCTGTCCGTCTGTAACACGATAACTCAAAAACTGCTGAACCGATTTTAACCAAATTTGGCACAAAAATACTGTGGCACCCGAGAATCTGGCCATTAGTTTTTGGTGGGGGTGGGAGGTTGGTAAGGGGGTATGGGAGGGGGTTAAAAATTTAAAAAAATCGTAACTCCAAAATTACAGTAGCTAGCGAAACGCGGTTTTCAAATTTAGATTAAGAATAATATTTGCAACAAAATTTGTAATAACATCAAAATCAGTCAAAGTCGTAGTTTTTGAGATATTAACATATTTTAGTATGGTCGGCTATACGTGCCTCCCGGCGCCAATTTGTTTTTGAAATGCGTTGCTAAAAACTTTGAATAAGTAACCCAAGCTGGTATGTGAGTCTCTAGTTGTAAAGAATCTTAATGTTATGGCCAATCTTTTTTTAATCGGAATACACTTCCTAAACGTTGTTTTTTTTTCTCTCTATACGGGGGCCAACTAAGTTCATAAGTCTCTTAAAATCAGTAGCGGACATGCGATAAAAATGTTAAAAAACATTCTGTCTGTTTGAAAATCGCGCATATGTTTACTTTCACTGTGCTGCGATCTACTTTTCAAATTATTAGACATCCAACATCGCCTTTTTTTACTCTTTGTTTCCTTCGTTTTACATCGCACTAGCAGCCACTATTAAAAATAATGCGGTATCATCTATGTCCGAACAGCACGAACGCAAGCACTACGTTACAATGTGGACGCCGTCGCTTGCGAGCCGAAAGATCTTGAGAAACACGACAAACAGGAAGCGTAAACAACGCAAGCACAATCAGAAGCAAGAGCGCGAACAGGATCACGAGCAATGTAGACGCACCTTTAGAGGCCGGATGAGGTCGCATATCTTGTAAGAGTCGATTTAGATACTCGGTAAATCAGTTTTCCCATTAAAAAAGTTGGTCCTTTCGAAACTAGCTCTGGCAGGAAAAATACTTTAGAATGTTTACGAGGAGTGGGGTGGGGGGTGGTGTTTAATTACCGCTACCTTACAGATCTATTGTGTGTTCCCCTTTCTTGAGTTATAACGGATGATAACTCAGGGCAGTCTCAGGGCTTTGACAAAAGCCAGTATCTGAGACGGCTCCACAAAGGCCAGTTCTCCAAAGAAGACCTTAACTTAAATATTTAACATTTAACTTTACTTTTCATTTGATTTATGGGGGATAGTATTTACGAAAAAACGTTAACATACCTATATACCTTAATGGACACCTTATCAAACAACATAATTAATTTGGAAAAGAGAGTTACAGTGTCACATTGGAATTGTTGATTTTCTTAAATCGGCCACATTAGGCGGGACTTATGCAGAAAGGTAGATATGGTATTACATGGTGTCATCCAACCTAGATATTTATAGGGTGGGATACATTGATCCTTAGCCCTATTTTGGATGTGAAGAGGTCCAGCCTTTTAAACATCCATTTTCCTTCGCTCCGTTTCATGTTTTTTCATCTCATTTGGAAGGATGCATTTTGTTAATATACAGGGTGGCGCACCTCATTCGCCTTGTCGGTTGATTATACGAAAACGGAAAGATGTAGAAACACATTTTTTTATGGGTATATGTAGAGAGGTAATGTGCTTAATTTAAAATTATTTTGAGATGTACAGGGTGTGTCAGAACTAAGATCCATACCAAAGTTATATTTTTTCTTATGGAACACACACACCCGGTATTTTATTTCATTTTTGAATTCTTGGACATAAAATAAGGCATTTATTATAAGGGTTTAATTTGTTTAAATGCTTTGGTTTTTGAGATATTTAAAGATATTTAAATATGCATGCTATAATACAAAGTTTCTCAACACCCTGTACATTACTTTTCAGAGTTAATTCTTGTGCTGACTTTGAAGCCAGAGAAATAAACTTTACTAAAAAAATTATTGCTTCCTTAAATGTATACAGGGGATCAAAAATTGCTGGTTTATTTTAAATATTTATTTTACATAAAAACTTCGTTATTTCAAATACAACACTATGTATTTTTTTGAATAAGTCCAAGCTTTAAATGCTCTTTCAAACTATATTGGGGTTTCCTATACCTATCTGACTCAGATTTTGAATAAAAAGCGATTTTTCAATAAAATAACAATCAAGATGGCTGGTGTCGCCTGGCAATTTTCTAGCGACACTTAATAGCTATTTTGAAAATGGACATTAATTTATGGACTTTATTTAAATTTATAACAGCTTACTTTTATTTAATTTACCTACCATAGTTTAATAAGTAAGTATTTATTATTTTATCAAGAAAAATAAAGAAGTAGTTCTTTGATTTATAATATGATGACTTGAAGATATATTGGATTTTCTCTAAAAGAGCCAATTAAGGCAAATTCATTTTCTTCACTTCCAACGACAGGTTTCTGCCTAATAGGTTTTTCATACACCACACTATCAACTCTGCGACATATGAAAAGTAGTTTTTCAAAGGAACGCTTGTCTAGAAAATTCCTATTTGGATATCTTTCAGCATAAACGCTTCAGGCCAACAAACAATAATTGTTCTCACAAAATAAAATCACTAGTAACATATCCATTCCTTTCGCCAGCAGATATTGCTTCATTTTTCTTGTTAAAATAATAAATACTTACTTATTAACCTTATTGTAGGTAAATTAAATAAAAATAATCTGTTATAAATTTAAATAAAGTCCACAAAGTAATGTCGTTGAAAATAGCTACTAAGTGTCATTAGAAAATTGCCATGGCGACAAGCCATCTTGATTACAATTTTATTAAATAAACGCTTTTTATTCAAAATCTGAGCCAGATAGGTATAGGAAACCCTAATATAGTTTGAAAGAGCATTTAAATCTGCTTCGACTTATTCAAAAAAATACATAGTGTTGTATTTAAAATAACGACAGTGGTGGTACAGTGGCGGACTAAGCCTGTCGGGGGCCCGGGGCGGCAAAGCTAAATGTGGCCCCCGGTCTGCACATTTTGTAAAGATTGAATGACGTATGAATAATGGTTGACAAATTATAAGTATTTATATACTGTACTAATTGTAATAAAAATCGATATATGCAGGGTGTCACAGAAATAAGTGCAAGTATTTTAAGGGGTGGGAGATAAAAGAACCATATTTTTTCTTTATCGTTTTCCAAATAAGTCCAAAATAACGGAGTTATTTTACTTTGAAAATATACAAAAAAAAAGTTGCTCTTGTAAATTTGTTCTTGTAATTTTAATCTATGTATGATGACAACATATGTATGTTGTCACATTAACAAGAAATTATGTTTTTTAACTAAAAAAATTCCCGAAGTTTTCAATTGTTTTTTCGCGAAAAAAACCTCATAGACGTGTTTCTGGGGTTGAACTATACTACCAGTAAAATACTTGTACTTATTTCTGGGACACCCTGTATATTACAGTCAGTATGTCCCCGGATTGTCTTTACAAGAGGAAAAACTTTTTAATTATTGACTTTTTGAAAAAAATGCGTTCATAAGAATTTTTGCTTGTTGTAAAATGGCGTTTATAATTTTCTACATATCCATACCGTTTTAGAAAAAATAAAAACATAAAAATGTAGTTTTTTAATGTAATTTTTCCGCAAAATAAAAACACCACAATACACCAAAACACTTTTACTTTTACACTGGACGCGCGTTTCGCTAACCATGTTAGCATCATCAGCAGATGATTATAAACTAAAGTACAATCTACAAGTTGAGCGTTTATATACTCGCCCAGTGGGCACCGAGTGGGCGTGGCAAGAACTAGCCAACCGAGTCAGAGCCAACTGAGCGTAACTGTTAGATTTCCGCCACTAGAGTAGTAGGAACAAAGAACTTGAAGGAATTGGACCGTTGTCTCTGTTCATACTATATTTACATTTATTAATTCTGATGCTTTCATATGCATCTAATTGCCTGTAATTTGAGACTAATTTTAAATTATTAAGATCTATACAATGTTCTTTATCAACAATATGTTCGGCAACGCAAGATTTATCCGGTCTACCATATCTTATCTGAGCTAAATGTTCTTTAAATCTAGTTAATATTGATCTTCTAGTTTGCCCAACATATTTCTGATTACAATCTTTACAAGAAATTTCATAAA